ATGTTCATAGTGTAGTTTAGGGTCAGTGTTTCCATGGCACAACAGTCTGGTACTGGTCAATGTTCATAGTTTAGTTGAGGATCAGTGTTTCCATGGCACAACAGTCTGGTACTGATCAATGTACATAGTGTATTTGAGGATCAGTGTTTCCATGGCACAACAGTCTGGTACTGATCAATGTTCACAGTGTATTTGAGGATCAGTATTTCCATGGAACAAATCAGGTAGTGATCAAAGGTCATAGTGTGGTTTCCCTATAGCTACTGTACATATGAAACTATTATTTTTGTGTTAGAACTTTCCAGTTCATGTAGTTTTGAACATACACACAAAGCTAGTCAATGTTTGAATCTTACTCAGTATTTGGTTAACACATTTATTGTTCATTCAATAATTGATCCCCGAGTCTATGACTAAGATAATTACTAAATCATTGTAATATTTTTCCTTTTATGCCATACGATTCCAATTTAAAAAGTAAACCCTCATGTCAAACTCTATCAAACGCTTTACTTATATCACAAAATACAAATCTGATTGCATTATTTTGATCCAAGTTATTTACAATAGTGTTATATACAGATAATAACTGGTTTACAGTCGAGTCTCTTGGTAAGGAGCCTGCTTGGTGTTTCGCTATGATATCACATTCTTTCATAGAATTTAACATATATTTAAATATAAGTTTTTCAACAATTTTGCTAAAACATGATGTAATAGATATTTACCCATAGTTAGAGACATCGTTTTGAGCACCCCTACCTTTGTATATTGCATTAATATTAGCTGTTTTCCAAGAAACAGGTATAATACCAGATTCAATAGTCTTATTACAAAGTCAAGTTAGAGGACATATTAGAGAAGGTGCTAATTTCTTTATTATCTTGGGTATCATGCCATCTGGGCCAGGAGGGGTTTTATCATTAAGTAAACACAGTTGATCTTTAATGTCCTCTTCAGATATAATAATATTGTCTAGAAGGACGGGAAAAGTATTTTGATGGGGGTAAGGGGTTAAGGATTTTCATCAGAAGTTGATATTGAGCTGAAGTAGTTATTTAGACATTCTGCTTTTTCAAATGGATGATGTATTAAGTTATTATGTTCAGAAAGAGGAGGAAGACAATTTGATACATTATTTGAATTCATGACAGATCTAGCAATTTCCCACCATTTATTAGGAGGCACAGGCAGTGATTGTTGTAAGTTTTCATAATAAGTGTTTAGCTTCTCTAACAAGGTCTACTACTTCATTTCTAGCCTTTCTGATATTTTCCCAATTAATTGCAGTGTTGTTATTTACAGCTTTTTTTATGTAATTTATTTCTGTGTCTAATATTTTGCCTTATAATATTCCTCACCCAAAGTTTATCACTAGGGCGAACAGTTATAATTTTGGATGGTATACATTCTTCTGATTGATTATTAATAGAATTTGTTAAAAAAATATTAAACTCATTCGAGTCAAGATTATTTATTAGTATTTCCCTATTTATTTCATAGCTCTATTCATTTGATCAAAATCATTATTGTCATATAGTTTAATATAGTTTTCTGGTAGGATTTCTGCTTAAATACATGATATGAACAGGTAAAATGAATAACAGAGTGATCACTGCATATTGGTGTATTCACTGTGTTATGTTTTACAAGATTAATATTATAAGTGAATTAAATATCAATAGTAGTGGCAGTAGTTTTGTGTTATCCTGGTAGGTTTATTTATTAGATTTGTAAAGTTATATTTTACCATTAGTCTATCTAAATGGTGGTTGGTAGGTATATTCAACATATTTACATTTATATCCCCAGTTATTATGATGTTAAGTGTGTGTTACATGCATTATCGAGAACATGGTCTAATTTATCCCAATATTCAACATTTGATTCAGGTCTATAAATACATCCTAATAATACTTTTCGCTTATTGAATAATACTTCAAACCATTTCATTTCTATATCATCATGCTCAAGATCAATTCTTCTTTCAGTATGTACTGTGTCTTTATGATAAATAATTAATCCTCCCCCAGGTCCAGTTTTTCTATCAATTCTGTGAATGTTATGGGAATGGGAGTTAAGTGTTATTCCAGCATCAGTTTGGAGAAAAGTGTGTTTCAGTAAGACATAATATGTCACTCTCATGTAATTCTGCTTCCATGATATCAAGTTTGGTTCTGAGAGATCAAACATGAAGATGTGAGATTTCTATGTTACATTTGGGTCCTGGATTTAGTTCAATATCATTGCAAAGAGGTAACATATTTGTAATGGTACATCAAAGATATTCGATGTTTTTAAGTTTGAAAAAATGTGATTCAACAAAAAGTAAACAATTTGTAAAGTAATATCTAGGGTATGTAATTTTACCTGCCGCCCGGACGATCAATGTGTTTATATAGTAATAATCCTCACAATATAGATGTGTCCCAATAAATATAATAACGATATTCTTATATTTATCCATTATCAAAGACAGTCGAGTGGTAAACATTAGGACACATCAATAGATTTCTGAAGGTGTAAACAAACTTACGATAGGCAATAATGACAATATCTGGAAATCGACTGTGGACTGAGTGAACTTAGAGTAGAGTATAACAGTACATTAAGTGGAAAGTATAACAGAAAAGTAATTAAAAGACCGTATGCAAGGTATAAACATCATTAAACTGATTCATTACCTTAACAAGCAATACGGAATGGAGACAGCATGGTAAGACTAAATATAGATTTTAACTTCACAAACATAGTAGTGAACAAGATTTGGTTTCCCTTCAATTATGGTGTACGTCCTTTCCAATCAGCATTATTTATATGTATTTTCATGGGACATATCTGACATAGAGTATTTTGATTGAGAATATGATTATAATGGGAGTCCTATATTTGACATTTTCATGTACAATAATCATGAGTAATTACTTATAGAATGTTAGGACTCAAATTATTCTGGTCATTTTATTTAAATTGAGATTAGTAAAACATTCAATAATACAGAATATAGACCTGCTAATTGGTAGGGGTAAACCAAAAACCATGCGATTTGTAAAACAGTATGAACGTGTTTTATTTACATTTGGCCAAGATACTTGCTGATAGTAAAATATGTATTTGGGATTATATTTGTAACTCAGGTATGTGAAATTATGGCATGAAATGCAAAACTATATGTGGCAATATTTTTTGTCTTAATTGTCATACATATGACCATTTCACTGAATATGATATCGTTAGTTACACCAATCAATTAGTATCATACTTATAAAGATCATTTGTATATAGCCCGATTACATTGTCACGTGGTTTGAAAGGCCAAGCAGTCAATGGACACAGAAAACATCTTGTTTTTATAATATATATAGACTACACACAATACATAAACACAATGAAGGGGGCTTGATTGAAAGGTTACATTGTACATGGTGCGGCCATATATATGCATATCACTTTACGATGAGTACTATATACATTGTACACATGTATTATAGGTGCATATTTCAAGATACTGTAAATATGTTTTATCACAAACTTGCATATCTATTATTCCATAACGCATGGATATAACATATATCGGTTGTATTGTATACATATAATCAATTGGTAGAACATCACTAATTAGATAAGCTATATCTTTCCTTTTGTAGAGGCGTATAATTGTCTTGAATTTAGCATTTTCAATCAGTGAATTTGCTAAGTTATTCCTATAATTTAAGATCTAATGATTTCATCTGAAAGAACGACTCTTAATATATTAGTAAAGGGTTCTTTTGTATCTAGGGGGTTTATACTCACATTTTATTTAGGTTTAAATTTTGAGCATGCAGAATATCCCCCATGGAAATTTTAAAAAGTTGGCAAGTATGAAATAACATCATTAGGAATATTCAGGGTCTCGATATCTAATTTGGAAACAAGGGAAGGAACATTATAATAAAATAGTTGGGTAGACAAACAAAGTACAAACCTCGTTATAAGTCCAAGGGCAAATGCAGGTTGAGGGTTGATACAGGGTAGGATATAGTCACAAGTATTTTTTATACAACACATAGTTAATCTTTTAGTACAACAGCCAGTGTAACTGAGGTGTGATGTTTTTGAAATACGCTAAGCGGAAGTGATAAGGCACATAATGTTTTGCTGGCTAATGTATGGAGGCCAATATGGGATATAGCCTAAGCTCACAACCCATATCAAGGACAAGGGGGTATAGAGGTTTCAGTGCTTGTATGGGGGCAAATATGGGATATAGCCTAAGAACACAACCCATATCAAGGACAAGGGGGTACAGAGGTTTCAGTGCTTGTATGAGACATTTAAGTACTTCCAAAAATTTGTTTCAATATTTGATACCGTTCTCTGCACTTGGACTAAGTTTCAACTTGGTATTTTATTTGCTTTTTATATCCTGATTGTTGCTGTTATATTTTAGGATCATTCAGCATTTTTTGTCTTCACTGAAACATGTTATTCTGAAGGACCAAAAACCAGGCACCAAAACGTCAACGATTCAAAGACAAGTATATGATAATTTTGTTATCTGTTGACGTTATATAAAATATAACAGACTAGATAAAAAAAAAATCTCCTTAGACTGTTATAGGCTTATATTAGCTATATATAACGTCAAAACCTTGTGGAAAATTACCAAATGTTGATGTAATGGGGATTATCCTCTTTGATGTCTTTCATCAGAGACGTATAATACTATATTATACATGGCTTTATATGTCTCTGCTTTCATACTCCCTATGCTACCATTTCGGACAAGTTCAAACATGTGAACACTATACCTGCAAAAGGATCCATGTCTAACATTTGATCGGATCAGTGTTGACTTGACACACTGTTTAACACGTGTATTACATACAAAATATCACCTGCTTAAGGAAATTCTCGAAAATATTTACAATTACGGAAATATTTACCCCAACAAACCAACATAAATCATATAACATCAATGACGAATGACCTTGTGAAATAGGATGTTGTATACATACATAATCCGCTAGATATCGTTAAAGGAAATATTTCCGTGTGTTACAATGAAAGTGAAACTCGTTGTCCTCGAGATACGACCAAATCTCATCATAATTGTTACTCAATTCCCCTTACCTCAAAGCGATCCGGAACCACTTCCGCTAACGTCATCATTCGTCCAGTCATACAATGTAAAGTATATGTAAAATGAAAGTAACTACAACACTTTAGGATTTTCCCATCGCATTGCGTATATCCTATGTAATGCATGATGCAAATTTTGAGTATAATCATAATTAAACATGACCTCTTGAGTTTAAATAAGGTTATTCCAATATATTTACATTTGCATGGCATTGTCGTCATTGATGGAACTTTAATATCATGCACCACGGGACATAAAGCTGTGTCATTCAAATAGATCATACATACCATACAAAAACAGTTCAACACTTATGTGTACGTTATCTCTGCCTTTTATGTCCTTTTTTAACTTACAATTTATTTTAAAATTTACGCCTTATCGACAGTCCACACAAATTCGCTAAATAATTTGAACAGCGTGTTGTCGCGTGCTGATTGGCAAACAAAGTATTACTTTGAAATGTTAACAAACACTTCAATTTTATTCCACAATTCAGTATCAATACAATTGCGTATGATATGTCTATAGGGTGATTTAAGTTTATCAATAGAACTCTGAGCTGAAAGTATGATTTGAAATTGTTTCGATTTTTCCCCGGAAAAAATTTCGCGCATGGATAAATACCGTGTACACCGTAAATCCAACCTTCTAGTTCTTTCTAGTTTTACCATATAGTGACCACCTTCAACTAATTGAAAATTTTGTCACGAAGTTGGGTTTATGCAGCCGAATGACAGACTATGTATATTAAATAATAATTAATCACTTTATTAAAGTTAAGAGAAGGAAAATTTAGTTCGAGGAGAGTCCGAGAGAGAGGTCCGAGCAAGCCAGTGATTGGGCAGCCCCCACCGACAAAGCTTGTTTGGAAAAGGGGGTAAAGAAGAGAAGTAGTAAGTTATTATGTAAAGTCTGTTGAAGTAACTAATTACTCTGCATCTTCAACTTTAAAGGTGTGCCTGGAAAGAGATGTTTTGAAAGAGTTGAAAGTGGGTGCATTAACGATGTCAGATGGAAATTTGTTCCAGTGTAGTATGGTGCGAGGAAAAAATTATTGTTGTCTTGTTAGAGTTTTCGAGTATTGCTGTTGGTTTTGGACCTGGTGGGAATTTCTAGGAATTATTCTGGCTCGGTGCATCCTGTCAGTCGTGGATATGGCCACAGTGCCCTGATGAATTTTATGGAACATCTTTAGGCGTGCATCTTTCCTGCGATCTGACAGGCTGCGCCACCAATCATGTTACACTAGAGGTATTCCGAAAGCGATTTGACACATATCGAACTCCTCTCCTCTGGACAATTTTTATTTTGTTGATATCATGTTTTGTGTACGGATCCCAAACAGAGCAAGCATATTCTAAAGAGGGTCTAACCAAAGATTTGTAAGCCTGTTCTTTAAATGTTGTTGAGCTAAATTTTAGGTTTCTTCTTAGAAGTCCTAGAGTAGAATTTGCCATGTTACAAATCTGATCTACATGAGAGTCCCGTTTCAAATCTGATCTGAGGGTTACACCTAGGTATTTCACAGAATTAACATGTTTTAATATTTGGCCATGAAGAGAATAATTAAAAATGACAGTCGATTTTTTCTTAGAAATTGTGAGAGCATAACACTTATCTGGGTGGAAAGCCATTAACCATTTTTTCTCCCAAAGGGCTAGTTTGTCCAGGTCAGACTGTAGGGTCCTTGCATCTTTCTCTGACGTAATTGTCAGATATACGACGGTATCATCCGCAAACAGTCTGACCGTGGAGTTTAAGCCAATTTGCATGTCATTAATATAAAATAGGAACAGACTAGGCCCCAGTACAGACCCCTGGGTGACGCCGGATAAAACTGGTACATACTCAGATTTGACGCCTTCAACAAGTACTGATTGGGTTCTATTATTTAGGAAGTTTGCGATCCAGGAAGTAGTTTTATCATCTATACCATAATGACTGAGTTTGTTGGTAAGAAGAGAGTGGCTGACCTTATCAAATGCTTTGGAGAAATCCATAACCAATATATCTTATAGTTTTGAGTTGTCAAGAGTTTTGGTAATATCATTAACAAATTCTAAAAGTTGTGTTTCACAGGATCTGAATTTTCGAAAACCATGTTGGCGAGGATACAAAATATTGTGACGATCTGAATGTGTCATGATGTGTAACACTATGACATGTTCCATTAACTTACAACAAATGCAAGTGAGTGAGATAGGTCTGTAATATACAGCATCATATTTTTGGCCTTTTTTAAATATTGGAGCAATATGGGCGGTTTTCCAATCTTGCGGAACAGTGCCAGATTGTAGGGACGAGTTGAATATTATACTCAAAATAGGTGCAATTTCACTAGCCAATTCCTTCAAAACTCTTGGACTCAAGTCCTCTGGGCCTGGTTTTTTGGAACTATCAAGAGTCTTTAGTAGTTTTTGAATACCATTTGGGGTAATGAGGGGTGTTCATGGTTGGATATATCTGATCTGGATTCATATTATTTTCTTTAGAAAAGACGTCAGGAGATATGTTTTTGGATGTAGAGAAAACTGATTCGAATTGCTTATTGAGTAGGTTTACTTTTGATTAGGAATCTGAAATGAGCTTGCCATCCTCTTTTAGAGGGGCGTACCTGTGAAGTCTGTTTTCTGGTGTTTTATGTAGGTCCAAAAATTGTTCATGCATGTGAAAGATCCTTTGACCGAAGTCTCATCTGGAGAAACTATGTTTTCTATATATTTCCAATACTCTTGCCGAATCTTTTTTTGGATGGAATGTTTCAGTTCTTAATATTTCTTTGTTAGATCTTTATCACCAGACTTTCTTGATTTTTTAAATAATCTGTTGCGTTTACTAATCAAATGTTTAATTTCATGAGATATCCAGGGTTGGCTTTCTTTTGGTTTTGATATTTTGTGTGGTATATGCATATTCACCAAAGAGTTCATAAATGACTTGAAGTCACACCATTGATTCCCAGTTAGCTTTTTTGTATAATGGAATTATTGCCCTCCACGAGGGAGTTATTTTTTGAAGTTTAATGAGAAAAGAGAAAAGTTCGAATTTGTGAAGAATCCAGACGTGAATTTATTTGTTAATTGTATTGGAATCTGACTACAGTCAGTAGATTCTATAACAGCCTCGTTATTTGACATGTCGTCATCAACTGAGTAAACCGTGCCTGCGAGACGCGAAAAACTGATAGCGTTTGAAGTGAGTGATCTTGCGACGGAGCACAGGGGTTCGTTACAAATGTCTGAAATGTTTATTTGTGCTGCGACTGATATCAGTAGGTCTATAGCATTTGGGTCAGTAGGTCTATAGAATATGTGTATTTCAGACATTTGTAACGAACCCCTGTTGATCAGTGCAGTGTAACAGACGATATTTCTGATAAATTGCATGAATGTTAAAATTGTTTCCATTGCCGGCATTGGTGATTTCAACCGATGTGCATTTTGTAAGATATTGCAGACATTGGTCTTGTTTTTGTTGTAATAAAAGTTCTTTTGCACATAAATTTACAATTACTTTGTCAAGTCTCACAATGCCCAGCGATATTTCAGCAGCCGTCATGTTTATTTACATTGGATATTGTAGTGCCGGTCAGTGTTGTATTAATACGCTAAGAATTGTATGTCGTGCTGCATGGTCATTGAAGTCCCATCAACGACACAGCTTTCAAGTAGCCTATATAGTGACAATGCCATGCAAATGCAAATATTTTTGTATACTCTCTTTCCCATTTTCACCGCTTTGCACATGCTTTTACTAAAAAGTCTATTGAACAACAAGAGCAGACTCTTGTGTAACGAATCATCTCAGGCATTATAACCCGAGCATGAGTCTGTTACTTCTGAGAACAAGAAAGTTAACAATCGTGTAATTGAACATGGAATGTTTGTCGCAGTGTTAGGTAGTGGAGTGGCAATTAATGTTATGTTGTATATACATTTCAGGATGTGAAGCGTGGACGAAGAGGAACTGTGATGTTTAAATACAAGTAGCTCATCAAATGCTTGTTGTTTACGGAAAACTGTCATCAGATTTTCAGAATGTATCATCTCCATTCTTCCATAGCCATGGCCATGTGAAAAGGGCAAATTCAGGAGTAAACAAATGGCTAGAAATTGTGTACATTGGGATGCTTTTGGATGTCAAGACTGTTTAAATGTTCCTCCTCCAAACTGGAACAATATGATCCTTCCTTAAACACTATTCTGATGTTAGTAGTGATGTTAAACCTACTATGTCTCAGTCATAATAATACATTTCTGCTTGAATTCGCCAGACAAAATAGAGTGACTTTAGATGGTTGGTTACCATGGTTATCTATCAAGAGTAGTTTTTTAGGTGGAAGATTTTATATGTTTTAGATAAACACAATAATCAGGATTTCGGGAACTTTTCCCCTTTAATAAACAAATCTCCAAGTCGGAGTGATAGAAAACCGTCTGTGATCACCCAGAAATATAAACATGGTGATACGAATTTTCTGTATAAACAAGAGGCTCAGAGGGCCTGTATCGCTCACCTGGATACCAAAGCAATCATGGCAAAATATTCTCCGAATGAGATCAAGGGAATATGCCAGACCCCAAGGCCAATCCTTGTAGCATATCTGTAATAGATTTTTCATGTCCAGCATTTTTATATATAGTTTTGGGGTTGGGATCTCAACCGTTTCAAAGTTATGACCCAGGGGTTAAGTCTGCAAGGGTGGGGCAGATCATTGGGTCAATTCTAATATCATGACTGCATGCGTCTTTTTATGCCCAACAATTGTATATATAGTTTTGGGGTGGGGATCTAAACCATTTCGAAGTTATGACCCAGGGGTTAAGTCTCCAAGGGTGGGGCAGTCCCCAAGGCCATCCTGGAAGCATATGTGCAATCATCTTTTTATACTGAGCAATTGTATATACCATTATAGGATAGGGCTTCAACTGTTTCCAAGATGTGACTAACAAACTAGGTCCCTA